ATAATATATATTAATATTAATATATAATGAAAAATATGTAAATTTTATAATTTAATTTTGTTTAATATTTTACTTATTTTAATTGTAGAAAAGTTGGATTAAAAGTAGTTTAAGAAATTTTATTTTAGAGGATATTAGTTTTATTTTATGTGACCTATATTAATTTATATCCAATTCATCAGTTCTGTTTAAAATATTTACTTGAATTGCTGTTTTGTGACATTCTATACAAAATATTTTATTGGATAAATTAATTATAATAATAAAGTTATACAGCTTGTGAAATAAGTGTTTGACAAGTGTTAATATGGACTAATATTGGTTCTTACAGAAAAATTTACTAAATTAAGTGCTACAACAGTTCCAGGATTGACTATTCATAATGTGTGCATGTCTGCACATGTGCATGCATACAAAAATTTCTTCAGATTTTATTTGTATTAATAAATTTTTCATTTGTAAGTTAATTAAAATATTATAGTATTTGTATAACATTTGTCATCTAAATTTTATAAGTAATAATAGAAAATAACTAATCAGTTTTTAATGATTATAAAAATGCATTTGCATTAAATATACTTAAAGTAAAAATGAAAAATTATTATTGTTTGGAAGTATAAATCTTGTAATGTTTCACTAAATTAAATGTGCATAATTAATAGAATAATTTAACTTAATATGTAAAATAAAAATTCATACGATCAAATGCAATTGATATTTAGTTATTTTTTAACATAAAGTATTAAAATCAGTCACATATTTTTATCTTAATTATTAAATATTTAACACCTTCATTTAATAAATGAAACTGTTAATTTCAGGTTAGTAAAACTGTGTTTTAAAATTGAAATGTTTTCAGCAAAAACATAAGCTATTCTCAACATAAAATATTAAAATATATCTAATATTTGATTCTGTAAAATTGAAAATTAAAATGCTTTATTTTATTTAAAATATTTACTTGATACTGAAGATAGCCCAAGTTCAAGCAAAAACATTTCAGTTTACTACACTTTACTACACTTTAATACACTTTAAACACTAATAAAAATGGTTTTAGTAACTGTAAATTTTTTCATTTATTTATTGTTATTGCAAATGACTGATTTTTGACCTTTACTTACAGAACTAAATTTTAAAAATTTTATGAAAGTTTGTTTTATTGAAATTTGATAGAAAGTGGATCTTTTAATACATACTGAAATTTTTCACTGTAAGGATCTCTCTATTTAATCTGAAATATTTAAATCTTAAAAGTTGAGAGATACATCAACTAAATAGTTTCATAATTAAAAACTGAAAATATATTTTATATTCACCTTTTTAATCAGGATCCTAAAGGCATAGACTTGTATGCATGAGATTTATCAATATTTATTGATAAATGTTTTGAAAGCTTCTTAATTTTCATCTTCAGAATATTGCTTTAAAATTGTCAGTATAAGTGGAGAATTTCATAAATTCGAAATTTCATCCGTTTAGCTCATCTTTCCTATTTTTATTGTCAAATGTAGAAACAATGTTGCAAGGGTTCCTGTTCTCTAGTTTTAGGGGAATATCTATAACATAATACTACACTTTGGCACTCTTCTACTTTGTGATTTGGTAGCAATGTGATGTAATCATGCTCTTGCAAGATGACATGCAGTTTATGATGTGACCTGACCTGACCTATCCTATCCTGTATACAGTACATGCTATATGTATTGTATATAGGTTTGATCACAGTGAGTGATAATTGTACCAAATTGCAATATGTATAATGTTGCAGATATTCCCCAAAACTTGAGAATGGGTATTCAACCCCCTTGCAATATTTCTATGTGTAGCATGATCAACTGAAGAAGTGAGTCGAAAGAGAGGTCAAATTTTAATTTACAGATTTTGCCAATTCTAAAATGTGTTGCAACTTTTCTCATAACTTCAGAACATGGGGTATGTTTGTTAATAGCAGTTGCTTTGTATCTCCGCTACTACAGGAGTGTGCTGCTGTTTGTAGACATTTAGGAACGATGGTGAAAGAAACAAAGATGATGTCTCCTGTACTATCNAATTTATTTATCCCTGAACAGTTTGCTTACCAACCAATTACTCTCTTCTGCTATGTTAGAATTATTTGAATAATGTCTATATAAATATCTTTATTTTTTGGCAGCTAATAATTAAAATTAAGTAGGTCTGGTAGTATAATTGCCAACACATCTGCATGGTTACAGGAGTGTGCTGCTGTTTGTAGACATTTAGGAACGATGGTGAAAGAAACAAAGATGATGTCTCCTGTACTATCAATGGTATCATGCTGGAAGGATCTAAGATTTTAAAATGGATGTTTAATTAGGTGGATCCTTGTCATTCCTAAGTAGAAAGTAGACCATTGGGCTTCTTTTATATGCAATATATAAAAGGAGCCCAATGGATTACACTGGATTGTTATCCATATAGATGCTATTCAACTGTTTGTTGTAGGTGAAAGTTTCGAAGGGCTTAGTTCTCTTGGATCTTGAATTCAAGTGAGAATAGTATTGTTGTATTAAGTGGAAAACAGCTGGGCTAGTATCTAAGTTGTAGCCAAATAATAAATATGGCCAAGTTCCTTTCATCTGAGAGACATTGGAGCAGTGGGAAAAGGTTCTTTTTATCAGGGTCCTGAAGGCATAGACTTGTATGCAGGAGAATCATGAGAAGCAAGTGGAACAAAGATAGGGGATTAAATGAACCTTTTCAATATACATCAGTGGTAAGAATGCCTCCATTCAAAGTAATGAGGAGATCCAGGAAATGGACTTGTCACTCTACAGCTCCAAGTTTAATGTTAATCTGTAGGAGTTATTAATGGTATCAAGGAAGTTTTCAATAGGATGAACACAGTATGAGACAATAAGGATGATGTTGATATATCTGGAGTAAGGGAGGATGCATTCAAAGGCTAGAAGTACCTGCTGCTCCAAATGTAGAAAGACCAATTTGCAAAGTATATCAGAAATAGAACTACATATTGGTACACCCCTAGATTGTAGATATGCAGTGCCTTCAAATGAAGAGGAGGAAGAGTGACAGATGATGTGAGCCAGCTCCAAAATAGAAGAATTGTATTTGTGCAAATGTTCAATTTTGAAAAACAGAAAATCAAGTAATTCACAGAAACAGGGCTTAGTTCTAACAGAAGAAAAAGTGATTGTTAGTCAAACTCTAAAGTACACTTGTGGTGACATATGAAGGTCTTGTAATCTTTTTATTAAGGAATCTCTGATCCTGTAAAAACAGAGACTGCTGGAGGTGTCCAGTAATGAAGTGATTAAGAATCCTTTCAGTATATATCATTGAAAGGATTCTTAATCATTTTGTTGCAGATTTATCAACCACAGGACAAAGCTGGAAACCTTCCTTACAGATCTGTTCAAAGGCAAATATGCAAGGAGCAGC